CCTGCTGTGTCAACCAACAGTTCCCCCCTGCTTCATGCCTTTTGGGTAGCAATTTGATTCATTCTTATTGACTTTGTTTAGTTTTAAGACCTGAAACCTTGGCAAACAAGGTCATTTTGCCCCCAGAAATAGCTCTCTCTGCTTCAGATTAAGTCACTGTTTTTTATTGTTTTTAACCATCTCAAAATACTGAAAAGGGAGGAGGGGCATAAAGTACCTATTGGTCCCTTGGTAAGTACAATGGCAGTTGAAAACATTCTTAAATACTAAACCAGAAAGACTGATAGAGCTGAAATCTGTGAAATACAGTGAACCTTCACAGTGCAACTTCTCTGAAGAGGGTTTGTTAAAGAACAAGCACATTAAAAGTGCCTGGAAAGGAACCAGGACATGTCTATGCCAGCAATCCCAGAGATGCAGAGGCTGTAGATAGCAGTTCGAGACGGAAAAGCCTGTGGGCAGAAGAGGAGAGGATCAGCCCAGGGAGACAGGGGAGTTGAAAGGAGAATGCACCGATGACATGGGTATGCAGATTGCATGAGGAGGTAATTGGCGCTTCTCTCTGGTGCTCAGAGGAGAGGGATGAGGGCAGCATAGCACTGCTGGAGGCTTTGCTTATTTGTTGGTTTTTTTAAACATGAAAAATCCCAGGGAGGTGTCAGGGAAACCATCCAACCAAGGCAAAAGCAAGCCTTGGGCTCATCATCTGTCCTTAGTTTGCTGCCCCAGAATCCAGTGCAAAGCACAGCCATGGATAGCATGAATTTAATTGTATTAGGAGGTGGCTGTGATGGGGAGTGCCTTATGTTTTCTTGCTGTTGATGCGTCTCAGTCCTTCAGGTGCTCCTCTCTAGCTGCATTCTTTGTTTTTCATATTTTCATCAGTGACTCTGGTAAAGAACAGTGGAGGGTTACCTGCCTTTCTCCCTGGTTACCCATGTGTTGTAAGGGGAACTTGAAAGAGGGCTGTTAAAAAGAACTTGGGAGCTTCTTCCTTGCTTTGTACAGCGAAGGCCCTGCAACATCAAAGCTATCTGCTTTTTGAGTGTGCTTTCAATCCCACTATCAAAAATCCTCACATGGCCTGTGTGGTGAGAGGAGGGGATCCATGGCAGAGAACGTGGCTGCTGTGACCATGAGAGTGGCTCATAGGCTGGCTGGAGGCGATCCTCCATCCTGGAGAAACACCACTTGCTTCTTGATCTTTTTCCTTTAGTGCAGTTAAGTTCTGGGCAGGATTTTCCTCCCAGGTTTGCCAAGTTTTGCGACACTGATGGCAGCACAGTGTGCTGAGGGTATGAAGAACTGTGGTACGAAACTCAAGTCCTAGTCTCTCTGAGGTGAAGATGGTTTTTGCGGACAGTGTAAGCCAGGAGGCGCTGGGATGAGGCAGGAGGAAGGAAGAGAAAAGCATGGTCAGTTGGTTATTTCCTGACTGGTAATTGTAGAAGGCAGTGTTATGGGTTGCCCTTGGTCAGCTGAAGCAGACCTTGTGTGCTGTTTGTTTTCAGAAATAGAATATTTTTACAGTCTGAGGACTGGGGCTTCTTTTCATCAAAGCTTTTCAAGATAAGACCCTGGCACAAAGCCTCGCTGCCCATTCCTTTCTGCTGTCCACCAGCCATCCACATTTTCTTCAATGACAACTACAATGTCTCCTTCACTGATGTCCAGTTCATCCATGTTCTGAAAGGAGACAGGGAAAGGAAATGTGGTGAGCCTGAGAGTACAGGAGGACCCAAGCATGTATCTGGTGTTTGTTTGGGTTTTTTTACCCTGCCTTTCCTCAACAGCCTACCAGTGTCCTTCGGGTTGGGAAAGAGCCTGCAATACCAGACAATGAGAGATTAAGCACTTACTAAGATGGCTATTTCCTTAAGATCCTCAAATTTCCCCAGTCTCCACGGTGTCTCCTTCTGAGCAACTTGACTGTTGTGTCACTGGGGAATGCTGGAAAGGGTTAAATACGACTGTCCTAAACCAGCTAACCATGACCCTTTTGTAGTCTGCCAGTGTTGCTAAATCAGTACACAGCTTAATTCCCAAGGGAGATAAAAACAGTGTCTCTACTAATCCAGGCCTTAAATAGGTCTCTCAGGTTTTTTAATACGGAACAGTGGTGACCAGTGGAGGTACAGCAACTCTCGCTGAGATAGGTAACTTTTATCTCCAAGACAAATGGAGTAGTTGTGAGTAAGCTATTGCTGAATTCTCCAGTGGCTATCAGCCCGTTCAGTGGTGCTGTCCTATTTTCCATAGAAAACCACTTTGCTACCTGCAGCGTGGCAAAATAGAAAACAGGGTAAGAGAGGCTTGCAGTCATGTTTGATGCATCAGCTAAATCTAAATTTAATGTACCTGAGTAGGTAAGAATGGACTCGAAAAGTGAGAGACCTCAATATACAATATACTAAAAGTAGTAACAGGCTCTTTTCTCAGCAGGGAAAATCCGTGTGTGTCATATTTTTAAGGCAACTCCTGGAGTAAGGATCTGACAAAGAGATCCACCAGTCTCCTCAGGGGAATGGCCATTAACAGTGAGATACTTTCAGCTGCACTTGGATGAAATTTCAGGCAAATAATAAAAGATGGTGTAGAACAAAGCAAAACAAAGAACATGTAATAAAGGTGTCAGAACCCTGCTGTACCTAAGAGAAAGCTCTCCTGTCCAGCCCTCTCTCTGTTTTCATAATTTATCTGGCTATCTGATTTTGTCACTTGCCAGCATTTCTTCACTGTTGGCGATTGATGTCTGGTCCCTTGGTGTGAGGGTCTCTCTGCACTGTGACATAAGACCTTCTGGATGCTGCTCATTCTGCTAATCTAAAGCTAATAAAAGGAACCTTTAAACTGACATGTAATTAAATTGTGAAAGTCCCATTAGGGGAAGCTAATGGTTTAGTAAGAGTCCAAGAGCTTCTGGTGTCCATCTGAATAAGAAAATATTCATAACCTTTTACTAATGGCAGTATGCCTAGACAGGTCTGAATCCAGTGAGAGTTCAATATCCCAGTTAAGGGTGCAGGTTGCTCTTTATAACAATCTTTTGGTGCGTGGACCATGTCCACTGAATTCTGCAACTTGCAACATGGAAGTGCAGG